TGACAAACAAAATCTATGTTATTTTAGCTTTAGAGCTACTACTACTACTATTACTACTACTATTACTACTACAACAACACACAATACTGATACATATTACAGCTGCTGCTACTACTACAGGCAGTGTGAACTGGGACAGCAAAATCTTACACACAAATCTATGTTATATTTGTTATAGGGCTACTACTACAACTACAACTACAACTACAACTACAACAACTACTACTACAACTACAACTACAACAACAACAACTATTACTACTACTACCACTACTGTTACTACAACAACTACTACAACAACAACTATATAAACAAATATTACTACTACTACGATTACTACTACGGAGTGGGACAGCAAAGTCTTAACTGACAAACTAAATCTATGTTATATTAGCTTTAAAGCTACTACTACTACAATTACTACAATACAAAAAACTGATATAAATATTATTACTACTGCAGCTGCTACTACTACTACTACTACTGCTACTGCTACTACTACTACTACTACTACCACACCTCTACAATTCACAATACAGATACAACTACTGTTACTTGTACTACTACTGCTGCTACTGTTACTCCTCCTACTACTACTACTACAACTACAACAACAACTACTACTACTACTACCACTACTGTTACTACAATAACTACAACAACTACTACTACTACCACCACTACTGTTACTACAGCAACTACAACTACAATAACTACTACTAATACTACAACTACTACTACTACTACTACTACTACTACTGCTACTGCTACTGCAACTACTACTACTACTACTACTACTACTACAACAAGAACTACTACTACTACTACTACTACTGTTATTGCAACAACTACTACTACAACAGCAACTACAACAACTACTACTACTATTACTGCTATTACTACTACTCCTATTACTACTACTACTACACTACTCTCGTGTGGTTGGTTGCTGTGAGTAAAACCTCATGTGATTGGTTGAACCCCGGGTCTGTCTTCTGTGTGTGTCTGTATCTTCCTGCAGTTGTTTTACAGAATCGATCTCTCGTCTCATTAGAAAACCTCTCACGTCCTGCTCATTTGTTCAGACCAAATTCAATTTCCTCAACCTCTCCTCACTCCTCTTTCCTCTCCTCTCTCCTCCATCGTCTCTTCTCTCCTCTCTATGACAAGACGAGGAAGCATGTAGCGGCGTTTCCTGGTTACCGCGAAGAGGAGAGAGGCTTCTGAACAAAACACATGTCAGAAGAAGCTGGATACTGATGGAAAAGTAATTGGATGTAATGAATTTGATTTGTGGTGTTGTTAGAGTGGGTGCATAATCCGAGGTGGCAGAGTATCCAAAAGAGATATACTCAAGTAAAGTAAAGGTGTACACTGTACGATTTTTGACCCTTTTTGAGACGATTTTTCACTCGTGTGTCTATTTTGGGGATCGGGCCGAGTTTTGGCTTCATCGTGTGTCGTGCTTTGTGTAGTAAACATGGGGTAAAGAAAACCGATTAATACCTCACGAACAGCTCCCGATCGGCATTCGTAGGTCACAAGAAAATCAAATTTGTTTGAAATCCAGTCGCCTTTCGTGAGGGTTTCGCTCTGTTGAAGTCGTTTCAGAGACGATTTGCCAGAATCTGTGAGACTGAGCATGTGCGGACACAGAAGCTCAAGTGGTCTGGGTTGCTGTGAGTAAAAGCTTGTGTGGTTGGTTGCTGTGAGTAAAAGCTTGCGTGGTCTTGTGTTTTGCTGTGAGTAAAAAAGCTTGTGGTCTTGTGTGTAAAAGCTTGTGTTTGTTGTGAGTAAAAAGCTTGTGTGGTCTTGTGAGTAAAAGCTTGTGTGGTCGGTTGAGTAAAAGCTTGTGTGGTTGGTTGTTGTGAGTAAAAGCTTGTGTGGTTAGTTGCTGTGAGTAAAAGCTTGTGTGGTTGGTTGCTGTGAGTAAAAGCTTGGTCGTACAGTAAAAGCTTAAGCTGTGTGGTTGGTAGTAAAAGACAGTAAAAGCTTGACCTTGAACATATCACACAGTGTACGTCCAGCAGAAGAGTAACATCACAAAAAGACATTGGCCACATTTACATGATGTTTTTTAAATTCCAAATTCTGAATTAAATAGTTCTGAATTTAAATATTCTCCTTGGAGTTTTCATGGAAAACACGTTAAATTGCCTTTATTTAATTCAGCTCAGCGTCTGGGGGTGAGGAAGGTTCTGATTGGACAGAGACACCAATGTATTTACATCGACCGAAAGAAAACACACACTTCAGCTGCTACTGGCTTTTTATGTCCAGGGACATAAACATGATCCAAACTTTTTCCGCAGTCGTTCTGATGATAATTGTGCAGCAGCTGGAGAATTCTCTCACTACACTTTACGTCTGTCGGCTGAGGAGGAGAAGGAGGAAGAAGACAAAGTGAGTGTGAGGCTGCTCTACCTCAGCCCACTCCCACATCCCGCTCACAAATCCAAAGAGACGTGGATGAAAGTCCGAAGACACGACTGGTGGAGCCGGATCGTCGGGATCACGTCAGAAAAGCGACACGAGCATGTGCTGAACGACCGACATTATTTTTAACAAGAATAAACATTTACATGATCGAAAAATCAATTAATTTGGCTTTAAAATCAGAATAAACCCCCACTTACTTCAGAATTAAGTTTATTTCTAATTCTAATAATCATTTTCATTAGGAATTAAGTGTTTACATGGTCTTTTTAAAGCGGAATCAATTTTTATTCATAATTACATTTTTTTATTCAGAATCAAAGCTCTCATGTAAACGTGGCGATTTTTTTGACTGAATACTTTTCTGCAAAACCAAGCTGCTCCTTCAGTTCTGGTCAGACGCTGGTGGACACTGCCTTACAGCTAACTACACTGAAAGTACACAGAAACTAACACATCTACTTGTTCACAGTAACTGTTAGCTATGTCCATGGTGAACTTCCTCTGGTGAAATGCCTTTTGCCGACTATTAGGACACAAGGCCAACGGCACAACATCAGTTTTACAGTTGCAAATCCAACAAAAGCTACAAACGTTTAGGATCACATCAACCATATCAACCATAGTAGAAAATCAATGTTATTATGTGTATAAATGTGATGTGAGAGTGTTGGTGGGAGGACCCAGCCTCTCTTCTGTCCCAGGGCAGTTCTGGCTACTAGGGATGGGCATGATTAGTCGATTAATCGATAAGTGATCTTTATTAATTTAGTCGATCATGTTCATTTTTAATTGATAAACCTGAATGTAGGATGCTGTGTGTAGTGTAAGGAGACAAGGCTCCCACGTTTGGACTCTGGCTCCTTGGAGACACTGTTCCTCTGTGTGTGTGTGTGTGTTTACCTGCACATGTATAAGATCGTGTTTTTGAATATCCCGGTTTCGTCACGGTGCATGTAAACACAGTATCCCTCTGTCACAGGGAGAACACTCATAGGCTGCGTTCAGACTGCAGCCTGAAGTGACCCAAATCCGATTTTTTGGCTTCTATGTTCCTGTATCTGATCTTTTAATGACAGTCTGAACGACACAGATCCAATTTTTTCAAATGTGACCCAGGACACTTGGATATGTGGTCCTGAAACCGATACATATCTGATCTTTTCACATGCGACTTCAGTCTGAACGGCCAAGCGCATCCATCCGACCTACACGTCCTCAACAAACATCACTATTCTGCGCTGAAGCAGGCGGAAACCGGAACTGTAAAATCTCCAGGTGCTCAATGCTGCGTCCATGTTTGGACAACTTCTGTAAACACAGAGCACGCTCACTGCGGTTGATGCATGGGGTTGACGTCATCGTGTCCTCCAGTGCGCATGCGGGACACTTTCGGGCCGTTTACCGTTCACAGACAAGTCGCATTTAACTGGAAATGTGAACGACCTCGCAAAAACATTGGATTTCACAAAAAAATCGGAATTGAGCATTAAGCCCTGCAGTCTGAACGTAGCCCACATTCCACTGAGTCGAGTCCTTTAGTCCGAAAGAAGCTGAACCACTGTGATAGAAATTTAGATTGTGGAAAGATTTCTTTCAATCTGTCTTTGTGTAAATGAATGTGATTTCTACCTGAAACTCAGACCAGTCATGAACATGTGTAAATGTTCATCAGACACAACTGTCTCCTCCTTCAGGAAACCTTTGTTGTCCTCAACTGTTTATTCATTTAGCACCAGCCTCTGAAACCAAAGTCACTCTGCTTTGATATGTATGTAACTTGTATTTCTGTATAAATACTCAGAGTTCAGATACTTGGGGCAGATACTGGGGGAGAGATTCTGGAAGAATGGAGTAGGGACATACTGCTGCTGGAGGCTGTTGGGCTGTGGCCAGGGCAGGACTAGGCCCTGTCCATATCTGCTGTAACAAGAATAAACCTTGGTCTATTTTCTAAAAAACTCATCGGGCTTTGCAAATGGATTCATTATTTATCTTCAAGTGATATATAATTTTTGCCACAACACCGCATCAGCGCACAAGGAAAGAGCTGTGATGGTGGTGGTTTTGGTTTATATGTTGTAAAGTTGAGTTTATTTATGCAGATTAGTATTAGGAATAATAATGATGATAATTTTAATATAAAAACGTTGATGATTAATCGAAAATCGATCGTTAATTCTCCCGATAATCAAATAAGAACATTTAATCAAGTGCCCATCCCTAGTGGCTACAATAATCATTTAAAAGCAGCGAGTGTGGAGTGAATGAAAACTGCTGTGAAGTGCTTTGTGTGTTGAAAGGCGCCACGTAAATCCAACACATTATCAAGAAAGTCTAAAGCACAAAAACAAAACAAAATAGAAATAAACCGTGTGGAGCTCAAAGTCCACCTCCTCTGAAGCCCGCGGTGCTTCTTTAATTACGTTTACTTTTCTCACACACTTTTGGAAAAAAAATCAAATAAAGGCACAACAGAGACGGATCAGCTCTGTGCCTTCTGCTCATCACATGTTTAAGGACACAAGACACAAGACACAAGACAGAGGCACAGGGCACAGGACTTACTTGTTTTGGTGCTTGGAGCCCTGCAGGTGTGCGTGGTACTGAGCCACAGAGTTCAACGTCACGCCACAAACTTCACACGAGTAACTCCTCTTCAGACCTGAAACACACACACAAACACATGAAACACACACAAAACACACACACAAACACATGCAAAATCACAGAGAGGACGGTAGTGTTGTCAGTTAAGCGCTCATCCTCTGACCAGATGGTTGGCAGTTCAAATGTGCTGAAAAGACCACTGTTGTTGTTCTGGAGGAGGTGTGATTCCATACAAATACAAAGTAAACTTTCTGTTCAGAACATTCTCCATGGAGATAGATATGCCATAATGTGGAACAGAGGTGGAGACTTGTAAGTCATGACTTGGACTCAAGTCAGACTTGAGTCACTCTTTTTATTTTTTAAGAGTTAACTTAATTAAATGGACTAAGAAATGGGACTGGACATGGACGTGAAGGTCATTGACTTGGGACTTGACTCGGACAGCTTGAGAAGACTCAATATTTCTCCTAAAAAAGGATATGTTTGTATAAAATACTTTTTCTCTTTACAGTTGATACATGCGGTGATTAATTTTGCAGGAACAAACTTGGACCATGTCCCTCTCACTTCTCTGTTTGGTACTTTGGATGGAACTGAAGTACTGTGAGATGGTATCTTCAAATGTGTCAGGATGTATTTGGTTGTCTTACAGCAATATACAGTAGCCTGATTCATCAGACAGTTTCACTTCATGGAAACTGTCCGACCTCGCAGCATTATTCTCTCAGCATTATTAGCTCGACAATAGGCAGTACATTTTCTGTTTAAACAGTTGCTGCTGTTTGGTGGTGATGTATGTAATGCGCCAAATCCTGTAGGAAGAAAGACAATAACATCTTTCTCCTTGAAAAAATTCACCAAACATTCTATCATATTGTCATGGGTTCAAAGCTCACAGCTGATTGGCCAGTACAACACAGTAGAATACAGTAGAATACAGTACAATACAGTACACCACAGTACAACACAGTACAACACAGTACAACAGAACTACATAGAACACGATCCTTCCATTTCAGTGCAGACTACATGAAAAAATAACTGTTATTAAACACTTTTAAATATGAATTATTTCTGTTCTGATGTAATGATTCACACTCAGATCTCAAGATCTTTAAAAAGGAAAATTTAGCTTTTTAAGATTTAGTTTAAAATTCATATAAATGGCAAAAATCTATATTTGGTACTTTGTTTACAGACTTGAAATGAGTTGAAGCTCAAAGCAGACGACTTGGACTTGATTTGGTCTTATGGGTCAGTGACTTGAGACTCACATGAGACTTAGGACTTGCGAGACAACGACTTGGTCCCACCTCTGCTGTGAAATATTAGAGGCAGATAAGTATTTCCATGTAAACAAGCAGGAGGTGACCCCCCAAAGGCCAAACTGGAGTCAGTTTTTCAGTGCGGTTTAAGACCAGTTGTAGGTCTTTCCATTTTATCCTGCAGCTATCTTGATATTTATAATCACCTCTATAGCTTCTAATTGTGAGCTAAAAGAAGATATGAGCTGCCTGAAGTCCCAAATTAGTCCTGGTTTAGTCCTGGTTTAGACCTGATTTAGTCCTGGTTCCAAACTCTCCATTCTATCTTCTTTCTATCTTGAGATTTACAATGGCCAAGTTGTGTTTATAAGGGTTCTAGGTGGGAGCTAAAACTAAGTCACTTCTGCAAGTTAGTCTTGGTTTAGTCCTGGTTTAGTCCTAGTTTAGTCCTTGTTTAGTTTTGGTTTAGTCCTGGTTTAGTCCTAGTTTAGTCCTTGTTTAGTTTTGGTTTAGTCCTAGTTTAGTCCTGATTTAGCCCTGGTTTAGCCTTGCTTTAGTCCTGCTTTATCCCGTGTTTAGTCCTGGTTCTGTCCTGGTTTAGTCCTAGTTTAGTCCTGGTTTAGTTCTGGTTTAGTCCTGGTTTAGTCCTGGTTTAGTCCTGGTTTGGTCCTGGTTTAGTCCTGGTTTGGTCCTGGTTTAGTCCTGGTTCTGTCCTGGTTTATACCTGGTTTTAGTCCTGGTTTATACCTGGTTTAGTCCTGGTTTATACCTGGTTTAGTCCTAGTTTAGTCCTGGTTCTGTCCTGGTTTAGTCCTGGTTTAGTTTTGGTTTAGTCCTGGTTTATACCTGGTTTAGTCCTGGTTTAGTCCTAGTTTAGTCCTGGTTTAGTCCTGGTTTAGTCCCAGTTTAGTCCTGGTTTAGTCCTGGTTTAGTCCCAGTTTAGTCCTGGTTTAGTTCTGGTTTAGTTTTGGTTTAGTCCTGGTTTAGTCCTGGTTTAGTCCCAGTTTAGTCTTGGTTTAGTCCTGGTTTAGTCCCAGTTTAGTCCTGGTTTAGTTCTGGTTTAGTCCTGGTTTATACCTGGTTTAGTCCTGGTTTGGTCCTGGTTTAGTCCTAGTTTAGTCCTGGTCCAAACTTTCCGTTGCCGCTTGTTTCTATCTTCAGATTTATAATGGCCACTTTGTGTTTGTTCGGGCTCTGAGCGGAGCTAAAATGGAGATATGAGACGTCAGGAGCCATAGTCCTGGGCATATTTCAACTGCACCTGTTACTCCTCCTCTCGCCCGACCCAAACAAACCAGACGCAGCACCCATTTCTCTTCATGTCCCCTTTCGCCCACGGGTGCTATCCGGGCTGATCCGTTTAGCCCGGGGTGACTCACTGGCCATGCCTCATTCACTCTGCAATTCAGAGTTATGGAAAGAACACATTAGAGGAGATCTGAACCAAGGAACGCACTCACCCACAGTGCACTGGAAATGAGATAGAGTCATATTTATTGCGGGTAAACTGTTAGGAGGATTAAAAGTCTTGTTTAATGCTGATTTCAATTTTCAAAGTTGTATCTCTGTCAAAGCAGGGCTGCGTTTGCATTTTTGGTCCATTACCTTTCAGTAATTATCCAGATTGAATTTATTTACTTGTGTGTTTTTGAAAAGGTGCACACTTTATTCTTTTGGTTGAGGGTTGCTGTAGAGAAGCAAAGACGAGGATATCGTAACATAAGACATTTTTACAGACTTTACCGAACCAAATTAAAAATATGATTGATAGAAGATGAGGAGACACGGTCCATGTGACATGGTTTAGTCCTGTTAAATCCTGTTTGAGTCCTGGTTTAGATCTAGTTTAGACCTGGTTTTAGCCCTGGTTTAGATCTAGTTTAGACCTGGTTTTAGCCCTGGTTTAGATCTAGTTTAGACCTAGTTTTAGTCTTGGATTAGATCTAGTTTAGACCTGGTTTTAGTCCTGGTTTATTCCTGGTTCAATCCTGAATTAGTCCTGGTTTAGACTTGGTTAAAAAAAAAAAAAAGGGATATAGCCCAAAATGTGAAAACAGGAAAATACCGCCATGTAATCCATTTATTTCACCAAAGTAACTGTAATCCAATTACAACTCATGGAAACAGTAACTGTAACTGAATACAGTTACTCATAATTTGTACTCTGATTACGTAACTCTGGTACATGTAATCTGTTACTCCCCAACACTGATCACAGACTGATGTTAATTATATTATTATTTAATAATTCCATATGGTCTGTCCGCTTCCTTTCAGAGCTTTTCCGATGGTTGTGCTGCTTCCACACATGGATTTTCATATTAAAGCATTTGACTAATTACATTTTACCCATCATCTGTTACCAGGCAGGATCAGTCTGCCTGAGGCCTTCACTCAGGCCCTCAAACACAAAATAAATGTCCAAGAAACTGTTGCTTCAACCAGTCAGATTTTGAGTTGGCGTCAGCAGAGCCTTTAGCAGTGAACGACGTCACTGGATTCGGCCCCACTGATTGGACAGTCAGAGAACGAACCAGCCAAAGCAGCAAACTGCATCTGTAAGTAGCAGGCTACACCAATCCAAATTATTACTACTATGTATTACTGTTATTAATTACCAGTGGTGTAATGAGATTTTTTTAAGTGGGGGTATGTGATTCGTGACTGAACCAGGACTGAACCAGGATTAAACCAGGTCAAAAACCAGGTCTAAACCAGGACTAAACCAGGACTAAACCAGAACTAAACAGTACTACACCAAGTCTACACCAGGTCTACACCAGGTCTACACCAGGTCTAAATGAAGACTAATCTTGGACTTGAGAGAGAGAGCGGGAGAACCCTGAGCGGTGCACGATTGGGCGGCGGCTGCCTTGAGCCCAGTGGCACAGAGCCCCGTGTGGCGGCGGTTCTTTCACCTGAGGTCACCCAACAGTCTACCGGGCGTACCTCCGGACCCGTCCTGACACTCATCCTGGTTTAGTCCTGGTTTAGACCTGGTTTAGACCTGGTTTAGTCTTGGTTTAGACCTGGTTTAGATCTGTTTAGTCACAGGTCACTATAGAACAGTACTGGAGATATCAATGTTTCCCGCAGGTAACAGCTGGAATTACTTCACCAAATGTTACGGTAGTCTAACCTGCCATGTACTTCACTGGAATTTCAAGAGTAAACCAATGAGATTTTTGTCTGCCATAAAAGCGAACTGCCTTTGTGCCCTTGAGCAAGACACGTTCCTATGTTTAGCGGCCCACGAGGCACAGACCAGCAGACACTTCCCCAGTCAGTCCAGCTCCAAACACTAACCCAGCTCTGAGTGTGTAATATCATGACGTAACGGTGAAAAAAGTCCGCCCATTAGTAAGTTCAGCAATTTGCCCCCGACTGCGCGCTCCTGGTGGGGTGCAGGGTAATTACTTCCAAATCAGTTTTGGAGGATTGAGTTCCAGTGATATGCAGAAGTCTGTCCCCGCGGCGATGAGGCACAGTTGGCCAAGTCTGGTGCCTGGTGCCGGGTGCCAGGAGCCCTCGGAGCGTGAAGTCTAACCACCCAAATGTTTGCGTGGTGGAGGAGGAGGAGCGGTGAATATTCGGGGGTTTATCTGCTCCACTGCTTTCGGTTTGAGCTACTGTCTGCAAATGGTGAAGATGGGAACTGCTGAACCTCATAATAACTCAATCATGTTCTATTTTTATTTGATTAAACCAGGAAGTCCCACTGAGCAGCCAACACAATCAACACACAACAACAAAAGTTTGAGATCTTTTTGTAAATGATTCTAAGACC